GTCACCTTCGAAGTGAGCGAGCGAGAGACGTTACGAACTCTACTATGGGGAAGGCTTGGCTTATGAATAATAATGACGCAGCCCGACGTTCGTCTAGTTAGTTCTTCTGATTGGCTGAATTGAACGCTGGACGCTACAGTTGGCCAATCAGCGAACTCTTCGAGGATTTTCTTTGGATATTAATTAGAATGCGTGACTGGACGCTCCGCAAAGTGTATTAAGTAACGGCATATATAATAGCGTAGCCTTCTCCATAGTAGTAACCTGCAAAATGCTTAACTTTATAATACTTTAATGAATAACATTTGTGACAAGTTTTGGATATCACAAATGTTTTTGTTTTTAAAATATTTTTTTAATCAAATATTTCAATGTTCAACACAAATGTAGCTAGTCCCTATGCGGATTTATTTTGCCATATGTTTATTTTAATTGACCTTCATTGACCTTTAATTCTCTATCTTTTTTAACTTTAGCTGAATGCGGATGTTGTGCCCAAAACCGCAGGTAAAACCATCGAAAACAGCTTATATTCGTTATTTCTCTCACACAGGTGCCATGTTTGATCTTTTGTGTGTTTCACAGAGAATTTCCGAGCTCTCTGCACTGGTGAACGTGGGTTCGGATACAAGGGCTCAATCTTCCACAGGGTGATCCCACAGTTCATGTGTCAGGTAACACGACCCTCATCATCATCATCATGACATTAATAGATGAAGAACAAGATCACACACGCTTTCATGAGCTGATTCAGATCAAACCTGCCGGCGCTTCTGGGTTTGGCTTTCACTTGAAGCTTAAATGGATAACCTTAGTTCACCCAAAAAAAATCATCATCATTTACACACCCTTGTGTTTTTCCAAACCTGTATGAGTTACTTTCTTCTCCTGAACACAAAAGAAGATATTTTGAAGAATATATGTAACCAAATTGACTTCCATAGTATGTATTTTTCCTAGTATGGAAGTCAATGGGTGCCGTCAAAATGTTTGGTGACCGATATTCTTCAAAATATCATCTTTTGTGTTCAGCAGAAGAAAGAAACACAGGTTTGGAAAAACACAAGGGTGTGTAAATGATGACAAAGTTTCATTTTTATGTAAACTATCCCTTTAAATTGTGATTTTACAAAGCCCTTTAATAACCACTGAATAAAACACGTGCTCTTCCTGTCCTCACAGAAGATCCGCATTAATCCGGCATCATTAACTCTGCATCTGATGACGATTTTGTTTCATACTCATTTTAAGCCTCAAATGCTCTTTGCATGTATTATGTGTAATACATGTATTTTTACACTAGTGTGTTTCTCTCAGGGAGGAGATTTTACCAACCACAACGGAACCGGAGGAAAATCCATCTATGGTCCGAGATTTCCGGACGAGAACTTCAAACTGAAACACACCGGCCCAGGTAAAACACACCTGTCTTTGCTCAATAGACGCGTCATGGTGAACGCAGGAGAGTTTGATGATTGTTTGTGTCACTGCGATCCTTCAGGATCTCTGCAGGAACAGCTAAACGCCTCTAGATGGCGCTGCAGTAACTGCTCAAATCACTCTTAGTGTTAACTAACACTCAAATAGTTTTAGAAAAAAATGAAACAACTTAATTAAGTTGAAGTCAAAATTCTTAAATTACTAAAAATCAAAGCTAAATGGAAATGTATATTAAAAAACTAATAAAAATGACAAATTCAAATAATATTACTAAACCTTAAGCTAAAATTTAAAATGAAAATATACAAATAAAAAGCAAAATATCAAAATACTATAATAAAATAAAAAATAAACACTGATCTCAATCTGAAAGAGAAAAAGAGCAGATTGTCATAACTTTCTTATTTTTACTTGCTACTATTTTAAAACATTGGAAGCAAAAATCATGTGATGCAGTGATATAGAAATTTGATTCAGTACTTGTTTTTTATTTATAACATGTTAATATTTTAAATACGCACGGGTTAATGTTAAGTTTTTTTTTTATTCCTTTTTCTTTAATTTTCAACTATTACACTTTTATTGTACTTATTTTATTGCTTTTAATTGTTTTTTGTCTTTTTGTTAAATGTTTTTATATTTTGCCTGACAATTACTATTTATTTACTCGTTGATTTGTTTGTTATAGTGTGTGTGTGTAAAATATATATATATATATTTATATTGTGTTATGTGTGTGTTTATATGCAAACATGCATTTAAATCAGCAGCTGTCTAGATATCTGTATCGTCAAACACGTGTCAGTTAACCACTAGTTCTGACTGTGTGTGTGTGTGTGTGTGTGTGTGTGTGTGTGTGTGTGTGTGTGTGTGTGTGTGTGTGTGTGTGTGTGTGTGTGTGTGTGTGTGTGTGTGTGTGTGTGTGTGTGTGTGTGTGTGTGTGTGTGTGTGTGTGTGTGTGTGTGTGTGTGTGTGTGTGTGTGTGTGTGTTTTTCTTCTTCCAGGTATTCTGTCCATGGCCAACGCTGGACCAAACACAAACGGATCCCAGTTCTTCATCTGCACAGTCAAAACAGAGTGGTACGAGAAGATCCTCTTCAGTTTCATGTGTCTGTGAATGAGTGAATGCCATGTTGAGAGTGTGTGTTGTGTGTCTTCCAGGCTGGACGGGAAGCACGTGGTGTTCGGCAGCATTAAAGACGGGCTGGATGTGGTGAGGAAGGTGGAGGATCTGGGATCTCGATCGGGAAGAACCGCCAAGAGAATCAGCATCAGCGACTGTGGAGAACTCAAGTAGATTCACTGAATCATTTCACTGAGTCATTTCACTGAATCACTTCACTGAGTCATTTCTACTGTCCTGCCGCAGATCCATCGACTACTAAACGTTCTGAAGGCGCCAAAAGCTCCATAATGTGAAATCCAGACCCTTTTGGGTTACAGGAATAGTCTTTATTTACTCTCTCATGTTGCTCCAAAGCTGTACGATTTTTCTCTGGAACACAAAAAAGGAGAATTTTTAAGAATCCTCACTCATAAAACGACTCTTTATAGTGACCAGAAAGGGCACAAAACAGCAAAAACGCCTAATTTTTGGCCTTTTAATCTTCTGCAGTTTCACATTGAACAAGAAAAAGATCCTCCTTTTAAAGTTCCAGGTAAAAAAACATCATCAAACAGGTTTGAAATGATATTAGGGTGTGTAAATAATGTCATAATTATCATTTTTGGGTGCATTATTCCTTTAAAGTGGTATCCACTGTTAATAAGTCATTCTCAGGTAATATTGGTGTTTAATCTGGACTGAAAACACGTCACATCTGATGACCTCTTGTCCTCATGCATTAGGGTTATGAATTATGGCCAGTGTGCTGCAGTATTGAGTTTGGATAATAAAGCCAAGAGCAATAATAAATGATGTTTTAGTGGTTTATTTGTGTGTGCACAGTTCTCGTTTAAGGCACATGTCTGTGTTTCACAGGTTATTAACGGCACGGCGCATTAAAGCAGGAACATTTCACAGTCATTCATGTAAATGTAGTTCAGAACAAGTTCAGAACTGGAACTGAGGATTCTGGGACTAAACATTGAACCATTTCATTAAAAGTAACTTGAGTCCGGATTATAAGTGAACAAACTCATTTAAACAGCAGATATCAAATATCAATTCAGACCAGAACACCTTTTTGATTGACAGGTGTGTTTGTGCTTGTTTCTTTACACATGAAGTGCTTAAAATGCTTTTTTTTTAGGCCACTGTATATGAGATATTACCAAAAAAAAAAGTATATTTCACATAAAAACGAGTGTCACGTCGTTTAATTAAACCTATTAATACTGTTGTTAATGTTTTTTTATCTATATTGCGTCACAATTATTTTTCCCCAAATACACACAAAAAGTTGGGAAAAAACAGGCACTTGAGTAACGCATCCTAAAATCACACAATTTGTTCTTCAGTGACATGTAAAAAATAAGAGCTATAAAAAATTCATTAAAGATCAACAATTCATCAAAAACATCATCAAAAGCCCTTTGGACAGAATCTCACACTTAATACACACTAAATGAGGATATTTCGTAGATTTATATGCTGTTCGGCAGTATATTTTCATAACGTTATTGTATATGTGTGAATATAGAGGAAATGCAAATCATATTAGTAGTTTTCATTGATCGCAATATCTCGATTTGGGATATCTCGCAATATCTCGAATATGGGGTGGAATTTTAACAAAAATTAAAACAATAAAAAAAACTAAAAAATACTCCAGGTGTTTTTTCTTTTCTTAACAAAACGCTTATTCACAGCAATATTATTTTAATTAATAACGTATCGGTTTTTTGATTTAACAAAATCCACTTGATGACGTCACCCAATAGGAAGTGACATCATTTCGGAGGGAACTCAAACATCAGAAAGATGTTTTGTGCTGCAGCTCTTTATGAACATCACGTTCATCTTGTCATTGTGTGAATATTCAGTATTTGTTTTTAAAAAGCAACAGAAATAATAAATAAATTAGGGCTGTCAAATGATTAATCACATCCAAAATAAAAGTTTTTTTACATAATATATGTGGGTGCACTGTGTATAATTATTTTGTATATATATAAATACACACACATGCATGTATATTTAAGAAAAAAAATATTATTTATATATAAAATATTTATATATAATATAAATTATATATAAATCTATATACAGTATATACATGAAAATATTTCTTAAATATATACAAGCACGTGTGTGTATTTATATATATAAAATAATTATACACAGTGCACCCACATATATTATGTAAAAAAAACTTTAATTTTGGATGTGATTAATCACGATTAATCATTTGACAGCCCTAATATATATATTTAATTACAGTAGTCAACATTTGAAGAGGATCAAAACCTTTCAACAGTTATACATGAATTTTGAACAATACCCGTTCTTGTCTTGATCCACTTCAAATGTTGACTACTGTATATATATCTCAGCACATTAAATGAGAGTTGTGGGACAGTTTTTTTTTTTTTTTTTTTTGAATTTCGTGTTTAAGTTTTGTGGTGAGTTTTAATTGTGGTGCACCATTTACTTAAACAACCACAGATTTATTGTTAAAAATATATATTTTCTGTGGCAATCAACATATTGCATAACTGCTGCTGACACCATTTCAGTATTTACTCAGAGTTCTGCTTTAAATCAGGAATCAGTGAATATTGTCCAGCTAAAGTGGAGCAGATTATAGCACCGGTCACGATGTGAATGCGGGTGTATCTGGTCTTTAGGATGCCGGAGGTCAGAGGTCACTGAACTCGACGACAGTAGTATCCGAGCTGCTTACACTTCTCACAGAGATGCTGAGGATGTTCTTTGCTCTGGTCCGATACGTCCAGGCCGTCGGGTTTCTCCAGAGGACGCTGCAAACACACAGGAAAGATTTTATAGAGCACCGTCCTATTCTGCTTTTCTCCATGTTCATCTTTCTTTAGTGTGTGATGTTGATGTTTGATCATGAAAAAGGTTTCGGGCGTTCTTCTCTATATCAGTGTCAGTTTTTCTGAACTCCTGAAACGCCTCCATTGTAGTCTTGAGTTTCTTCCGGGAACACGTCACAATATTCCTCATTATAATAAATAATATGCAGAATAAAGGGGTGGGGCCTGGTTGAGTTAGTTAGTAGTGTGTTAAACTGGCGGTTATGGGAAGGGGCGGGACATTTCCCAAACACACTCGAAGTGCTCGACCAATCACAACACACTGCTCCAGCCGACCAATCAGAGCACAGTGTGCTTTTCAGAAGGAGGGGCTTCATAGAGACAGGAAGTAAACAGAGCGTTACTGACAGACTGGGAAGAGAGGAGCCGCAACAATGGAGAATATGAGGAGAATAATCAACATTCAAGCAGGAAAAAACCTGTTCTAGTAGAGCCTGAAATCAAGACTTTGTAAAAGGGATTAACATGGCCTCTTTAAAATATTTTTCTGATTTAAAAAAACAGCCATGATGTCTACATAAAAGCATGCATCTTAATAGCAACATTTACAATACAGAAGAACATCTGGTGAACATTACAAAGTAAAACGGGACGTCAGGAGCGTTGAGGAGAGCAGATCCGACTCAATGCTCTTCATCGAGTGTTTTCTACCCGGTTCATAACTTCATAACCTGCCAAACACACTGCAAAGTCCCTCATGAAAGCTTTATCTTCAGCCAAAAGACCTCTATTACATCAGTGTCTCCAGTTTCTGAAGTCCTGATTAATAACAAACAGATGCTCGCCAACTTTTTACGGCTTCAAGTCTGTTTAGATGTTCTTTAGCGGCTCATTTTGTACAGATGCTTCAATAAAGAAACTTCAGAAAGCTTGCAAACATTCGCTGAGTTCCTGAGCCGTCAGCTGTAATGATCGTGTTTATATGGACAAGACGGAAAACTAAACACAGAAATGAACATCTTAATCAGTATCTTTGTCTTGATTTTTAGTAAAAAAAAAACATCCTTAAAATGAGAAACATTTACTTGGAAAGTCAGATTGCATAAGGTGAATCTGTATATTTTTTTACCCAAAGTTTTGTTAGATTCACGCTTTAAATAATTTAGCAATGGGGTACTGTCACAGAGTCAGCCACACGTCACAGCCCCAATCATCACCCAATCACCAGGGCCCGGTTGCGTAAACTACTTAGACTAGTCTTAAAAGTTATGGTGTGTTCACACCGAATGCGAATAGAGCGTCAAATACACGTCTATCGCGTCTAGTTAGACGCTTGAACATTTTGAACCCATTCGTGCGTCCGCGTCACTCGGGAATAAAAAAACAACAACACAATTTCTTTCTGGCATACGCTTCCGTCATGTCTGAAATAAAAGATATTGCTCTGTAATTGTTGTGGAAGTCCCAAATACGGAAGAAAGCCAAACGCCGACGTGTCTGGGTTCACAGCACCATCCAGAGGCGCACTCAACTCGGTGAATTTCACCGTCTTCTCCAGGAACTGCGCCTGGATGACAGCCGCTTCTTTCTCCAAGCTATTTCCTTTTTTGCCCGGTCTCTGTAAGCATACGACGTAGTATCGTGTATTCCAGGGTACCCACAGACGGCAACAATTAGCATCTCCTCCATTTTCGACAACAGTGATAGACCGGACGTATCAATTAGCTCTTCGTTGATTGGCTCGCGCAACAAAGCCTCATGCGAATCTTCCGCTCGAGTTAAAATTTTTCAACTTGCGCGGAAGTCGTTCGCGGAAGAACGATGTGTCTATTCGGTGTCTTTGCATTGACTTTGTATGTAATCTACTCGCGCAAATAATTAAATAATTAACCATTAGTCATCTCATTTTTTTCTTCAAGACTGGTGCTTACTTTTTAAAGTCAGTTACATAAAAAGGTAGACCAGTCTCATTTGAATCAGAAAAGTAAGACTGGTTACCCCTTGACTAATTTATAGCGGTCAAATTAGTTCTTAAGGCAGAGTCTTAACATAGTGGCTAAGTTTATGCAACTGGCCCCAGGACTCGTTCACAATCACCGGATTACTGACTCGCTGGCCTGCACTCCCTCATCAACACAGCCTATATCTACACGCTTCACCTTCACCTCAGTGTCTGGTCTCGTTGCAGTTACCACTGCTTACCGTCAGACTCCTTACCATTCTACTTGCCTGTGATCGACTCGCCAAGTCTCTAGTCTTCCATCCGTCATCCTGACCCAGATCTCCTGTCTTCATGTGCACTCGTCCCCTGCACAGAGAATCCACTTCAGTCAGCGCCAGCTAAGGCACCACCATCATTCAGCAAGTCACCATCGTCTGGTTCCCACTGTTTCTCCAGCACTCTGCTTAATAAACACTGTTTGCACCTTAACATCTACATATCTGTCTCCTTCTGTGTTGTGACAGAAGACCAGACCACAATGCAGAGTCCTGCCGGAACAAGTGAGGAGCATCCACCAGATCCGTTTGACGAACTCGTGACGAGCTGCTGGCGATGGTGGAATGGAGACACTGGCTGGAGGGAGCTCACCGCCATTTTAAGGTCATCACAGATTACGGGAACCTAGAATATCTCAGAGAAGCCAAGCGACTCAACCCAAGACTAGCCCATTGGGCTCTGTTCTTCACATGGTTCGACTTCACCGTGACCTACCGAACCGGTACCAAGAATTGCAAGGCGGATACCTGGTCCCGTCTGTACCATCCTGAATCCACACCTACATAAACCTGTTCTCCCTCCAGCAATGGTAGTCAGTCCTATCCATGGTCCCTCGATCAACTCCTCCAAGCCTGCTCCACCGGAAGGTCCTGAGGGACAGTTATATGTACCATCCGTCTGTCCCTCATGGACTCGGCACACACCTCTCCGGGCTTTGGACACCCAGGCAGCGAACCCTCTCGCTCCTACAAGATCGCTACTGGTGGCCCAGGATATCTCCCGGTACATCAAGGGGTGCTCAGTCTGTGCCATCACCAACACACAGAGAAAGCTACCCGAGGGAAAGCTGGTACCTCTTCCGATACCCAGACGCCCCTGGTCTCATCTAGGCATTGATTTCATGACCGACCCCCCTCCGTCTAATCATCACACTTGTGTATTCTTAGTCGTAGACCGGTTCTCCAAAGCCTGCAAACTCATCCCAATCAAGAGCCTGCCCACTGTGTTCGAAGCCGCAGAACTACTATTCCAACAAGTATTCCATCATTATGGCCTACCAGAAGACATCATATCAGACAGAGGTCCCCAGTTTATCTCCCGGGTGTGGCAGGCCTTCAAACTCCTCTGTGTCTCAGTGAGTCTATCCTCAGGGTAGCATCCGCAGACCAACAGCCAGACTGAGCGCAAGATCCAGGAGATCGTGAGATACCCGCGGTCATACTGCCACCAGGACAGCTGGAAACGCTACCTCCCCTGGGCGGAGTATGCCCAGAATTCCCTGCGTCAAACCACCACTGGGCTTACTCCGTTCCAATGCATCCTCGGCTACCAACCTCCTCTCTTCCCCTGGTCCGGGGAACCTTCGGAGGTGCCAGTTGTCAATCACTGGTTCGAGGAGAGCGAGAGGGTATGGGACTCGGCGCATGTGCATCTCCAGCAGGCAGTGCGAAGACACCGACACCAGGCGGATGTCCGAGGAGCTGAAGCCACCCAATACCAGCCGGGACATCCGTCTTCGCCTGCCGTAAGCTGAGTCCCGCCATATAGGTCCCTTCACTGTGCAGAAGCAGGTCAACGAGGTCTACAGGCTCAACCTTCCACCTCACTACCGTATCTCCCCTTCATTCCCATGTCTCCCTCCTGAAACCCTTCACTGAACCCATGTCCTCTTCTTCCACAGAACCCAAACCACGAACAAAGTACCTCCTCCTCCTGAGGACCTGGAGTCCATACCCTCCTCGACTCACGGCGACTGGGCGCCCGCCTAGAGTACCTGATCGATTGGGAGGAACGCTCATGGGTCTCTCGAGATGATGTCCTGGATCCGTTGCTACTCACCCAGTTCCATGAGGATCACCCTGACCGCCCCAGAGGTCGAGCCTGGCCCCATCGCCGAGTCAGTCAGCTGTCAGGAGCCGGCCGTGGAGGAGGGAGTACTGTCACATGCTGCGTCCCAATTCGCCTACTTATACTACGCCCTAAAAGTATGTACTCTTTGTGTGAAGAAAAAGTACATACTTTTGAGTGTGTAGCAAAAGAGTAGGCAAGCTTTTGGGACACACTACTTTGCCATCTTTAACGGACAGCTCTGTCGCGTGCATCCTATCACAGTAAACTCCCCTGTCAATCATCCTATCACCATAAACTGCCCTGTCAATCATCTTGTCACAGTAAACTGCCCTGTCAATCATCCTATCACCATAAACTGCCCTGTCAATCATCTTGTCACAGTAAACTGCCCTGTCAATCATCTCGTCTTAGTTCAAATCCTCCATTCAATCTAATATAACTTTTTACCATTTCGGAGAGAAATGTTGTCGCACGTTCACCTGCCAGTCGTGGGTCTTTCATGCCGAGACTCTCCTCATGTTTTTGCAATTTGAATGTAATGATGAATTTAAAAGCTAATGGCTAAACGTATCTTTACAAAAGGTCACAATGCTGCAAAATGTAGACAACATTGAATAAATACATTTCCGTCAGATTAGATACTGATAATCAATCACTCAAACCTTCATCTAAACCTCTCTACATAACCACCAGACTCGCGCGTCCTCCATGTCTGTAGTTTTTTAACAGTTTTCACTCGTGTTTGTAGTTCTAACCAAATCCTCGTCCAACGCGCGATGGGCAATATCAGCGTGTGCATCGATCTGCACTTCGGATTCTGACCGGAAACAGTAGACCATCCGGGTCTCTTTGGATACTCATTTCAACATACTACGATTTGGGACGTACTCATTTTATTTTCGAATACTATTTAGGATGGATAGTATGCGAGAGTATTGGGACACCGTCACAACCCCAATTATCACCCAATCACTAGGACTCGTTCACAATCACCGGATTACTGACTCGCTGACCTACACTCCCTCATCAACACAGCCTATATCTACACGCTTCACCTTCACCTCAGTGTCTGGTCTCGTTGCAGTTACCACTGCTTACCGTCAGACTCCTTACCATTCTACTTGCCTTTGATCGACTCGTCAAGTCTCCAGTCTTCCATCCGTCATCCTAACCCAGATCTCCTGTCTTCATGTGCACTCGTCCCCTGCACAGAGAATCCACTTCAGTCGGCGCCAGCTAAGGCACCACCATCATTCAGCAAGTCACCATCGTCTGGTTCCCACTGTTTCTCCAGCACTCTGCTTAATAAACACTGTTTGCACCTTAACACCTACATTTCTGTCTCCTGTGTTGTGACATAAACATTAGACTAATGGTTAAATCTTGCTTAATTTAGCTAAAGGATGTTTAGGCCCTGTTTACACGGGAACGCTCGCGGGTGAAAACGTAAAAATATTTTATCGGATGTGCTTTTCGTTTAAACGGCGACAACGTTTTTGGGGCTTAAAAACACAAAAAAGTGAAACCACCGTCCAGAGTGGAAATCTTAAAAACGCTCCACCGCCGCGTTCCCGTCTAAAGGGAAAAAATGCCCTAGATAGTGAAGGTCATAGATATCCATAATAAAGGCTAGATGTCTCGTCCGCGCTGCTGGCCAATGGAGGTCGACGTCCGCACCTGGCGGCCATCTTGCCACAGGCAGCTCGCTCACTCGTAACATTGTGTAAATGGTGCATGTACTTTTTAAATAACCATAACTTGCTCAATTTTCTACCGATTTTCAAACGGTTTGGTTTGTTATAAACATCAGAGATGTAGTTATGACACTGCACACTTATGAAAAATAAGTGTATAAATAAATAATCAACCAAAATTATCTAGCCACGTTAATAACGTTTGTAAGAAACCAAACCGTTTGTAAATCCGTCAAGATTTCAGCAAGATAAGAGTATTTGTGTTCGTGCTGATCACTCATCTTACATCAGGCACCACAGAGCCTTGCCTGTGACAAGATGGCCGCCGGTGATGACGATATAGACTCCGCCGTAAGACATCTAGCCTTTATTATGGATATCTATGGTGAAGGTTGTACGCAGGCGCGCGGACTTGGTGTTGTGGTGTGGCAGTGCTTCACATTGCCACCTAGCTACCTGGAGTGCGTACTACATCGAATTTCACACACTTTTGCGTCACCATATGCACGCGGAATTCCCACCCATAACGCTCGTCTAAACGCAGAATAAAAAGTGATAACACAAAGCCACTTTTGCGTTTTCTCTTCAGATCGTTTCCGTGTAAACATAGCCTTAGATATTGCAACCTAATGGCAGAAGTGCTGTTTTTCAGTCTAAAGTGAGCGTCTGTTCACCTGTTTGTGAGGATAGACGTTGATGTGGCATTTGATGCACTCCTGACCCATGTTCGCCCATGAGTTCCCACTCATCCATTTCCTCTTGCATTTGGGACACTTGTACTCTCCGAAACACCTCTTCTTTCCCTGATACGGCGTCAGACCCTCTCCTTTAGGACGAGCCTGGTAACAAAACAATGTTTAGTTCATCAGACTTGCAAACGAGAATCGTACATGCAGAGGCGACTCAGCTAAAAATAAATGACTGAATCACACACTGAACATATTTCAGTACCATAACCATCGTTCAAAAGTTGTCAGTGAGAAATTGATACTTTTATTCATAAAGGATGCGTTAAACTGATCTAAAGTGACAGTATTTCAAATAAATGCTGTTCTTTTGAAATTTCTATTCATCAAATAATCCTGAGAAATAAAATGTCTCGGTTTACACAAAAATATGAACTGTTTTCAACATTGATAATAATCATAAATGTTTCTTGAGCAGCAAATAATGATATTATACTGATTTCTGAAGGATCATGTGACACTGAAGACTGCAGTAATGATGCTGAAAATACAGCTTTGATCACAGGAATAAATTACACTTTACTGTATATTCACATAGAAAACCCATATTTTACATTGTAATAATATTTCACTGTTTTTGATCAAATAAATGCAGCTTTGCCTTGGTAAGAATCAAAAACCGGCTCTCAAAACCATTTAAAACTTAATTATTCCAAACTTATGAAAGGTAAGGTACATTATTTTGTAAATGTTAATACTGTTATATGTGTCATAGAGGTTTTCAATCTTTAATAATGTTTCATTTCATGTTTTTTCTGAATCCCAGCGCTGCATTTGTCGAACTGTTACAGTATTTCGATGTTGCAGTTCTTCATGTAAATGTTACGTTACGCTGTTACAGTGTATTTGATATTACATCACATTAACATTCTGAACTGTGGAATACAATTCAAGATGTGTCATGTTGCAGTTTAAATGTTGCCAGAAGAAGCACTATAGTGAATATCAGTGTAAACTCTCTTCTCTTTCGCACATACATACGCAGGTCTGTTTCAGATTTAAAGGACTGGCACAAGCATCTGTGTTTGACACACTCACATGTGTTTAATCTCTTTGCTGTGGTTATTAGGAGTGTTTAGTCATGATGAATCTGTCTAGGGCTGGCTCAGGATCATTGAGATGCTTTAAACATCTTTCTGAAATCATTCAAGCTGCATTTCTAATAATTCCAGAGTCAGTGTTGTGTTTGAGGAGTTACTTGTGTTGGATGTGAGCAGAGCCGGACAGTAACGGAGTACATTTACTCGAGTACAGTACTTAAGTACAATTTGGAGGGATCTGTACTTTACTCGAGTATCATTTTTGGGGAGTACTCATAACTTTACTCAAGTACATTTGAGAGGCAAATATTGTACTCTTTACTCCAATACATTTCTATCCATAACCGTGAGTACCTGAGTAAAAAAAAAAGAAAAATCTCGGAAACCCTCAATTTGTTGTTTCCCTCTCAAACGTGATTGGATTGTGCAGGCGCCACTGATTGGGACAGCCTATCAGCAATCACTTTCAGCTTTCCGCCAAAGTCAACTCCATGGTCAGATTTTATATTACACATTAATGTAAGCCAAGCATTTGGTTTGATGTTCTTGAGTATGTGGTGTGTTTAACACAGTCAAATGTGGCACTGGTGTAGCCACGAGGGATTTCTGATTTCTTTAAAAAAAAAACTTTAGGAGGCAAAAAATATTTTTACTGATTATGTGAATTACACTGCGCAAACCAAAGTAGGCTACTACCCAGCGAATGAAGAAGGGTTGGCGCTCAGTCTCCACAGTACATAAAATATTAATTTTGTTTTATTTAATTTTTCGGGTTTGCATTTATGAGGAAAAAACAATGTTATGGACGTGTTCTCCGTTACGGATGTGAGTGCTCTGAAAGCGACATAAAAAATGCTTTAAAACTTTCACAGAGACATCAAACAGAAAACACGAAACCTTTCTTTAACCTGAATTTCGTTTTGCATTAATTGTATCTTAATTTTAATCAATGTTTCATCAACCAATTGCCTGGGTTTAATAAATAAGAAGTAAATAGCAGATGATAGATAAGAAATGGAGGTGCCGGCACGTGAACTGGATCTCGTCTCATAAATGAACCGAAACTCAGTGTATAAGGTAGCCTACTTGCCTCTCACAGATATGTCTACTTTTAAACAGAAAAATTCAAAACGAAAGAAAACAGACTACAGACTGCTCTCTGCTTATGTAATCTGTATGAAATGTGCATTTCTCTCTGCCGCGTTCACTACTGAAGATCGCGAGTCAGCATCGTCAACTTCATCTAGCCGACACTGACAAAGAAAACACTTGTTTATTAACAAGTGTTTATTAATAAACAATTAAAATATCTCCTTGCTATATTTTACATATTCATAATCATTCCTTTTGCCGGTTCTTTGTGACAGCTTTTAGGTGTTTTATTGGCAGCGCCACCCTTACATGTGGTGTGTGTGTGTGTGTGTGTGTGTGTGTGTGTGTGTGTGTTGTCCCCGCATTTAAAGATGGGACCCCCCAAAAATTTTATTCAATTAAATAAAGCAACATGAAAGATGAAAATGACTTGATTTTACTTTCAATTCCTTTTATATTCTCCAAGGTATTAACATTAACATTTTTCATAACTCCATGTAGGACGTTTCTGTGCATAAATGTAAGCACTGTGGCAGTAGATTACTAATGCAATATTTAGAAAATCTACTCTTGTACTCTTGATACTCAAGTACTTTTAAAAACAAGTACTTTAGTACTTTTACTTAAGTAGACATCTGACTGTAGTACTTTTACTTGTACTTGAGTAAAATTTAGCAAGGGGTATCTGTACTTTTACTCAAGTAACAAAGCTCTGTACTCCGTTCGCCTCTGGATGTGAGCTCTGTGTGACTGATATGTGATTTAATCAGAAGTATCTGAGCCTCTTACGTCACTGCAGCACCAGCTCCATATAAACACCTGCTGCTTTACTAACCACACACACACACACTTCCTCACTCACTCACTAATTCACTCACTCTCTCACACACACTCACTCACACACACACCCATTCACACACACTCACTCTCTCTCACACACACTTACTCTCTCACACTCACTCACACACACACACACACACACACACACACACACACACACACACACACACACACACACACACACACACACACACACACACACACACACACACTCACTCTCTCACACACACACTTACTCTCTCACACACACACACTCACTCACTCTCTCCCACACACACACTCACTCAATCACTCACTCTCTCACTCACACACACACTCTCACTCACCCACTCACTCACTCACATACACACACACACTCACTCACTCACTCTCTCTCTCACACACACACACACACACACTCTCTAACTCACACACTCTCTCACACACACACACACACACACACACACACACACACACACACACACACACACACTCACTCACTCTCTCTCACACACACACACTTTGCTCGCCTTACTGATGATCCACTACTACAACATTCGTGCAACTTAATATCTTTGTCCTTCTTTATATTCCTCCAATGAATATAATTATCTAAGGCAACCAATCAAAATTCAGCAGCCAATCAGTTTAATTGTAAACAGATGTTCATTTGCTGTATACGTCCACAATGCTGTCGAAACATGGATCCGCGAGAACGACTGTAATCGCTGTATTCTGCTGCCAGGGTTTGTAAAGAAACACGATACGCCTATATAGACTGAACACATAACACATGCGCATGATGTCACCGGTTTCACAATTTTGCGTTTTTGTACTTTACACGGAAACGATAACGGTAAAAAATTATGAAATATTATTACAATGTAAATCAGCTGTTTTCTATGTGAATATATAGTAAAGTGTAATTTATTCCTGTGATCAAAGCTGAATTTTCAGCATCATTACTCCAGTCTTCAGTGTCACATGATCCTTCAGAAATCACTCTAATATGATGATTTGATGCTCAAGAAACATTTATGATTATTATCAAACTGTGTTGCTTCATATTTTTGTGGAAACTGTGATAGATTTAATTTTTCAGGATTCGTTGATATTAAAAAGTTCAAAAGAAAAGCATGCATTTGAAATTTGACATTTGACATATTTTGTAATGTTATAAATGTCTCTTTTGATCAGTTTAATGCGTCCTCGCTGAATTTCAGTACTAGTTTTACTTGATCTTAGTGCTGCGTTCGACACTATAGATCACACAATACTCTTAGATCGACTACAAAATTACATTGGTGTTCAAGGACAAGCATTAAGCTGGTTCAGATCATACTTATCTGACCGCTACCATTTCGTCTACTTAAATGGAGAAAAATCGATCATAACTTCGGCAAACTATGGAGTGCCGCAGGGATCTGTGTTAGGCCCTTTATTATTCTCAATATTGTATATGCTGCCACTTGGAAATATTATAAGGAAACATGGAATTAATTTCCATTGTTATGCTGATGACACTCAAATATATATTTCATCACGGCCAGATGAATACGCTAAATTATCCAAATTGACAGATTGTGTTAAAGATATAAAAGATTGGATGACGCGTAATTTTCTTTTATTAAATCCAGACAAGACAGAGGTAATACTTATCGGTTTTAAAAACCGTCCACAAAACCTTACACAGCACGACTTTGACACATTAGGATCCCCTGTTACCTTATCGACTACAGTAAAAGACCTGGGTGTTACATTAGACTGCAACCTGACTTTTGAAAAGCATATTTCATATGTTACAAAAACAGCCTTTTTCCACCTTAGAAACATTGCTAAGCTACGTAATATGCTATCAGTCTCTGATGCAGAAAAGTTAGTTCATGCATTCATGACCTCGAGACTAGATTACTGTAATGCTTTATTAGCTGGTTGTCCTGCATCTTCAATAAACAAGCTACAGTTAGTCCAAAATGCAGCCGCTAGAGTTCTTACTAGATCAAGAAAATATGATCATATAACACCGATTCTGTCATCACTTCATTGGTTACCTATAAAGTTCCGTATTAATTACAAGGTCTTGCTTTTGACTTATAAAGCTCTGAATGGTTTAGCTCCAGTCTATTTAACGGATCTTCTATC